CTGATAAGTCAATGAAACAAAACAGTGAATAATTAGATACAAGTATATGTGAGAATGCAGTGTATTACAAAAGGAACCTGTCAAGTCAGTGGGGAAAGATGGATCATTTGGGACAACTGACCAGTTATTTGAGTTGGGGGAATTGGGTCTCTGTCTCATTTATTATTTTAAAATTAAGCCTAAAAGAATCAAATATTTAAATATAAAAAATAAAAGCACAGAAGTACTGAAAGAAACATGATCAAATGTGTTTATAAACTTGAGGTGGGGAAGGCTTTTCTTAGCATCACACCCAGATAGAAACTATAAAAGACTGACAGATTTGACTTCTTAAAATTAAGACACACAGACACATACACACACAAATACAAAGATACATGTATATTTCTGTGTATACAAAGAGCAGGGCAGGACTGAGTATGGTGGCTCATGCCTATAATCCCAACACTTTGGGAGGCTGAGGCCAGCAAGAGATGAGGGTGTGGAAGGCACCTATCTTTGGAGGCTATGGCCATGAACACTGGCCAATTTCCAGCTGTTAGGGTGTTCCTTTCTTGCCTTTGGCCTGACCATCCTTCTCTGTCCTAATGATCTTCCTTCCACTTTGGAAATCACAATTGCATTCTAATCCTGCTTCCTTGGGATTGTCACCAGAGTACCAAAATTGGAGTGGTGGGTGTTCTTACATGCTTTAGTCACAGATTTGCCGATAATCTGGTGGTTACTCCCACAGGTGACTGATCACATTCATCAGGCATGGCTTGATTACATGAGAGCGTAACATCATTCCAACAGTAACAGAGGCATAGCTGGTGCACATTACGCTAGGCGAATTCTAAATGCTGTGTTTCATCTGACTCTTGGGCTAGATGACCCGGTGTGACCCAGTGATATCCCTGCTCTCCCAACTCTGACCCATGAGTGCCCTTGCCTGTGGGTGTGGAGTGAGGATGTGGAGAGTAAAGAGCATTGGTATTCACTCCTTCTTCTTAAGCTTCTCCTGGTCTAAAACAAAACAATTTCTCCCTCTAACCATTTTGAAAGTATAGACTACAGGCTGTGTGCATTACTGAGAGGAGGAGGCTTTCTCCCTTCTGGGTCTTTCATTTGGATGGGCAGAGAATGAGGCAGGAGAGAGGCCAAGGGCTTGTTCTGATGAAAATTACTGACAGAAACAAGGCAAGAGTTGACATTCTCAGGAACAGACTCACCTGGATGGAACTTCTCCAGAGGTAAGTGGGACAAATGGAACAGAAGGGAGAAGAAAGAGATGGGGGAGGCCAGAGGGAAAAGGAGAGGACATGTAAGGAAAGGCCTGGCTGTTGAGCTGGCTAAGTGAGTGAGGGAACACGGGCCCTGGCAGTGGAGCACCCACCTGAGTCCAACGTTGTTGATATCATCCCACATGGAGGCAGGGGTTTCCCAGAATGCCTTATTCCTGGTGTTCAGGATCGTCTGGAAGGCACAGGGAGGGTGATGAATGATCTGAAGGCAGGGAGGTGTGAGGGGCTAGGTAATGGAAGGGACAATGAGTGGGGATGAAGATGCAGGGATCAGAGGGGGAGGTCAGAAATGTGGAGCTGGGACCAAAGTTCAAAGGGTACCTGGACTCCTGCATAAGCGTTGTTGACCAGCACATCCAGATGCCCTTGCTGTTCCCGATCCACTTGCTCAAACAGGCTTCGCACTTCACTCTCCTGGCTTGAATCGCACACCACAGGCACACATCGGCCCCCGAGGGATTGTGCCTGGAGTAGGACAGGGGATATGAGCTTACATTCACACACGGGTGTGAGTCATGGCAAAACCCCCTCAATCAAAAGTGGACTTGAGCACTGAGAAGACAATCCTAGGAGAGCCAGCTGCAGAGGCAACATGGCAGGCAACGCGGCCCTCTGGTGTGTGTTTGAGTAGTTTCAGGAATGATAGGCCTCCCCACCCCAGAACAAGGTGAATTGCAATGTAAGTTTTAATAATCTACAAACATTTACTAAGGCCCACCATGTGGTGTGGAGTGAGGATGTGGAGACTAAAGAGCATTGGTATTCACTCCTTCTTCTTAATGTACTTCTCATTACATAAGTAGAGGGCAAGAACAAGTGAGGCATGGAGTCAGTTCTTGAGAAATGAGTAAGCATCCTTTTCCTTGTTGTGGTCTTTTCCATCTCCCATGGCCTTAGCTCCCACCCTTCACCACTCACCTAGAACCTCTACTCAGTCCCAGCTCTCTTACCCTCACTCCACCAATGCTCCTGCTTGGTAATTGAAAAAACCAAAGCTATCAGCCATGAATGATTTCTACTTCCTGTTCCGTCTCACTCTCTACAAATGTCCACAAACCTCCAACTTCAGAGGAAGAAGAGTCCCTTATCCAAGAACAATCCTCCTATTCTCCAAATTTATGGATCCTCCCCTATTACCCTCCTTGCCTGAACTACTGCAATGCCTCCCAACTACTCACCTGACCTCCAGTCTGTCTGCCTTAAATTAATTCTTCATAATCCAGTCAGTACGAACCATTTAAAACACAAACCCTGTTCAAAATCTCCTAACTGGATCTCCATCTCTTAGAGAATGAAGCCTGAGTTCTCTTCTAGGGTCTTCTAAGACCTACTCTTTCCTCTCCAGCCTCTCACTCACTACTCTTCCCTTGCATTATCTCGACATCTACTCTTTCACACACCGTCCCTATGCTTATGGAGCTCCCTCTGTTGGAAAGGTTTTCCTAACTTCCTTTACCTAACTCTTACCTTTCAAAACTCAGTTCAAGAACCACCTACCTCCTCCAGGATGCTTTCCCAAACCACTTTCCCTAGCCACTCTCCTGTGTCATCTGGATGCTCCCCAACACCCCTAGAGTATTCTGTGCATATCTCCCACTTACAATTTACCATATTCACATTACATTGAAATGACCACTTTCTGTACTTCATTTCCTGTTGGAATCTATCTTCATTTTTAATTTTTATTTTTTTTTTAGAGACAGGATCTCACTGTCACCCAGGCTGGAGTGCAGTGGTGCAATCGTAGCTCACTGCAACCTCAAACTCCTGGGCTCAAATGATCCTCCTGCCTCAGCCTCCCAAGTGGTACTACAGATGCAGGCCACTGTGCCCAGCTAATTATTCAAAAAATATTTTTTGTAGAGACTGGGTCTAGCTGTGTTGCCCAGACTGGTCTCCAAAAGGCTGCACATGTTTTTAATCTTCCTTCAGAAGCACAGACGGCCCCAGCTCGGGAATGTAAGCCAGTTGATTTTGAAGTCCCTGAAACCTTTTTAAATCGCCTTCAGGACCTGACCTCCTCCTTTCTGAAGGACATTGCAGGTAAGTGATCTTGCTGCCTTGGCCTCCCAAAGGGCTGGGACGCCAGGCATGAGCCACCGTACTCCACCATGGACTGAATCTTTGAAGAGGAGAAATTAGATCTTATTAGTCTTGGAATTTCCGTGCTTTACCCAATGCCTAGCAAATCATGGATACTCAAATATTTATTTAACTGAAGTCTAGTAAATAAGCAAAAAATGTACAGTTCAATAAAGTCTTGCCTAAAATAGAGGAAAACACAGGTCCACAACCCTTTAGTTACAATTCCAAAATCTCTGCTTTCAAACACAAAGTTCTTTTCTTTTTCTTTCTTTTCTTTTTTCTTTTTTTTTTTTTTTTAAGACAGTGTCTCCCTCTGTCGTCTAGACTGGAGTGCAGTGGCATGATCATGGCTCAACTCCTAGGCTCAAGCGATCCTCCTGCCTCAGCCTCCAGAGTAGCTGCTGGGACTATAGGCACATGCCACCATGCCTGGCTCAAACAAAGTTTTTTCATAAAACTCACTGGGCGGCAAAATTCTACCTTACCTGAAGTTATTTACGGGGTTTTAAATTTCCACTTTGAATAAATATTCACATCTTGTTGAGTAGTAGTATAGTTTCAGGTAAGGGATTAGGAAAGGGAGCGGTTAAGTGGAAGGGCTCTCTTGGGTGGTTTCTGCAACTGTGGTCCCAGAGGAAGCACTCACCTCCTGAGCAGCAACGCGAAGGGTGTCTAGATGGCGGCCAGTGATGTAAACTGTGGCACCTGCTTTGCAGAGCTGCAAGGCAATGCCACGGCCAATACCCCTGGAAGCACCAGTCACCACACACACTTTGCCCTTCATGGGAGCTGCCATGACTCACAGGCAAAGGAGGAAGGTCTGTGGAAGCAAAGACTTGCTCTGAGGGAAGCCTGGAGACTGTGTGTGTGTTGGGGCGGGGGTCGGGGGGAGGGGGGAGCCTCACTAGGGCTAAGAGGAGGAGCCAAGGTAAGAATCCTTTGAGGGGAGAGGAGTCAGAGGCGGACAACTGGGTGCGGGCCTAAGGGTAAGGGTGTTAGAGGCGGACAACTGGGTGTGGGCCTGAGGACAAGGCTGACTGTCTTTTGGGAGGCCCAGAGAGTGAAGAAGGGGCTGAGTGGGGCTGTCCAGAGGTGGACAACTACTACTACCCCCTGAGTGTGGCTGCCTGGATGGGGGAATCTGGCGCGGCAGCCCCTCGGGGCGCGTCCAAGCAGAGTCCTGGGCTATCTGGGGCTCCGGTCCCTGGCCTGACCCAGTCCGGCTGAGCCAGAGGCGCAGCTTCCGGGCCGGGGATGAGCGCGAAGCCTGGAGATCCTAAGCCCTAAATGTGAGGCGCGTGTGCCGCTTACCTGCCAGCTGCGCTGCCGCTGAGGTCCTCGCGCTGACTAGCTCGCCATACACGTGTAGTTCGAGAACTTTAATTCCGGCCGCAGGGGGGGAACGAAGTGACTACTACTGGGGCAAATTGCGGGGCTGCGGTGGAAGTCTGGGTTCTGACCCAGATTGAGCTGGCAACGTGGAGGCAGTGTTCAAGGACTGATTCTACAGTAGGACCCGGGGCGATTTTGTGCTGGGATCGAGGGGCGGAGTCCTGGGCCAAAGTTAGAACCTGCGGATGGGGCGGAGCGATCTGGGGGAGACACCCACCCCACCCGGCTGGGGCCGCGCGTAACTATGACGTAGTAGCTGCGTCAGGAGCGCGCCCGCGTTTCTGAACTTGGTTTGGGCCAGGCACACGCTTGGCGACGTTGAAGGTTCTTCCACAGCTAAGGAAACTTTTGCAGCCGGAGAGGTCCCGAAACACACATGGGGCTGGGTCCGCGCTCTCCACACAAGGTGGGGCGCCGGTTCCCAGCTGATGGCAAACGGGGGCGCGGGGCCAAGGGGTCGGGGCGCCCCTTACCCGGCAGTAAGCGGCAACCCTGGCCGCCTCCGGATAGGCGCTCGGAGCCGCCTCCAGATTCGCACCCGCACCTGAGCCCCGAAGCTCTGGGATATTTCCGCCGGGCGCTGTCAGCATTGAAAGAGGCTCCCGAGACTGGGGAAGAACGAGGTAGGCAGCAACTTCGGGGTTTAGACCAAGAGCATCAAATCCAGGGCAGGCAAGGAAACTTTCTAGGGTCGACAGGGCGTGGGGACTTAGTTTCATTTCCCATATCCTCTTCCTCGGCCTCCCACCCACGACCCTTGGTTAAGTGAGGGTACATAACCGTATTGTCTACTAAGTCTCTTCAAAGTGTGTTTTTCTTCACTTTTCCAGATCTGATGGTGCACAATATTATGAAGGAAGTAGAGACTCAGGCCCTAGCTTTGTCCACTAACAGGACTGGCAGTGAGATGCTGCAGGAACTGTTGGGATTCAGTCCCTTGAAACCGCTTTGTCGCGTATGGGCTGCTCTGCGCTCCAACTTGCGCACTGTGGCCTGTCACCGATGCGGGGTCCATGTATTGCAAAGTGCTTTGCTACAGCTCCCTCGATTGCTGGGGAGTGCTGCAGAGGAGGAGGAAGAGGAGGAGCAGGAAGGGAAGGATGGGAAGGATGGTCCCACGGAGACCCTGGAGGAGCTGGTCCTGGGACTAGCCGCTGAGGTGTGTGATGATTTTCTTTTCTACTGTGGAGACACACATGGCAGCTTCGTGGTCAGAACTCTGCTTCAGGTGTTAGGAGGGACTATTCTGGAGTCAGAGAGAGCCAGGCCCCGTGGTTCCCAATCATCTGGTAAGTATTACAAGAGGAAAGTGGACCTAGGGGGAAGAAGAATTTAGAAAGTTCAGAAGGAGACAGTAAACAGAAGACTAAGTCTTCATGGGGGAGCTTGACCTGGAAGTATTAGCTTGACCTGTCCTAATCTGAACAGGGCTTAGCAAGCCAAAGATTAGTGTGTGCAGAGGCCCAGAGGTAGGGATGTACAGTTGTGTTTTGGGGACGGCGATTAGAATGGACACAGGAGGAGAAATTTTTCTTTTTAAGCATGACTTAACATTTAAATGGACTCAAGCAAAAGTAACATACATACTGGACTCAAGCAAAAGTTCAGGAAAGAATACCCTTACTACATGCAGCCCACTCTGTTATTATTTTTTTTCTTTTTCAAAACTTTATTTTGCTCTATTTCATTGAAAAAAAAAATGCTAGTTGAGACCGCTAACTTGATTTCATGATACAGTCTTGAGCTGTGATCCACATTTTGAAAAACTCTGGGAAATAAAGTTAGCGAGTTTAGATGAGGCTTAATTTTGGAATGCCTTGACTACCTGACTGAGGAGGTTGAACTGTCTTCTGTGGACCATGAGAAGCTGGTTGAAGTTTCTTAGAAAAATTAAGACAGAAATGTAGTCTCAGTTCTGTCATCCAGAAGAGACATTCAGTTGTACTACATCTGTTCTGCATCTCCAAGTGGAATCCTTGTCCATCTATGGAATTTTTCTCTCCTGGGTGACAGTTTGTGAGCTTTCCACTGCACATGTTCTTAATCTTCCTTCAGAAGCACAGAAGGCCCCAGCTCGGGAATGTAAGCCAGCTGATTTTGAAGTCCCTGAAACCTTTTTAAATCGCCTTCAGGACCTGACCTCCTCCTTTCTGAAGGACATTGCAGGTAAGGAGGGAAGTAGGAGGAGGGTCTCCTATCTACTTTTCTGGAGGTGATTTTACCACCAAGCAAGGCCCTCTGGTCAGGTTATTCCTCTTCTTTTCAAACCTGGTCTGGTTTGATGTTCAAAGCACTTCGTATAGTCTCTTTGTGTCCATATAGTGCCCTGTATCTTGTTGCCTAAAGTTTGAGGTTATCCAGGTTGTCTGGATTTTGAGAAAGCTGCTTTATTTCTGCCCTCTCTTCACAGTGTTTATCACTGATAAGATCTCCAGCTTCTGTCTTCAAGTGGCTTTACAGGTTTTACACCACAAACTTCCCGAGTTTTGCGCTTATCTCTGCAATGCTGTGATTGGCTACCTGAGTACTCGCAGTTCCTCAGTAGATGGCAGGTATGGTCAGGGCCTCAGGATCATTCAATGTTGGTGGGGCTGTGTGAAATGAATGAGGTGATGTAGTGCAACTGTATTTTGCATGAAATAGAGTTAAGACTGCCTGATGCCCTTCTTGTCCCCAGTCCCCTACTGCTATTTCTCCGAGATCAGACGAGCTCCAGACTCCTGGAGCAGGTCCTGCTGGTGTTGGAGCCCCCAAGGCTCCAGAGCCTCTTTGAGGAGCACTTGCAGGGGCAGCTGCAGACCCTGGCTGCACATCCCATTGCCAACTTCCCTTTGCAGCGCTTACTGGATGCAGTCACTACCCCTGAGCTGGTGAGTTGGAAACCTGAGCTGGTTCTGTTTCCAATTCTTGATCATTGGACCTTATTTTATGGTCTGTCTGCCTCTATATATCTTTGACATTGTGCTGGCCATTGCCCTTGAAAAGCTATTCCTTGAGGTTTTCCAGAGCTTAGGATAAATTTGCCCATCTTCCAGTGAGGATTTGTTTTGACTTCTCTCAGGTATGAGGACCAGCAAGAGACAGGCTTCATTCAGGTTTACAGCTTGAGGTTCCATGGCCCACCCAGACTCTGGTACTTGGCTCTAAGCCCACATGAGTGCTAGAGCTGTTGCCATAGCTGCTCTTTTCCTTTGCTGCTTAGGACTAAGGTGGGCTTCCCTGTGGTCTCATGCATTGGGTGTTAGAGTGGAAGGGCAGGTTTAATTTTAGTCCCCCCTTGCCTCTAGTTCTCCCTTACACATAGGGAAGAGCCACTTAAAGTTCCTTCCTGTGAGGTGGCACCTCTAAGACTGCCCCCTTGTCCTGGGCCTTATCTAGCCAAACAAAAGTCCTGATACTGGCAATGCTTTTTATGTTTTATCTAGCTTTTTTAGTTGTTTTCACTGGGAATATTTCTCTGAATAATGTGGTCCACCATTACCAGAATGCTAAAGTTATATCCCATGTTTCCCATCAGCTGTCCCCTGTGTTTGAGGAGCTGAGCCCTGTCCTGGAAGCTGTATTGGCCCAGGGCCACCCAGGGGTAGTCATTGCCCTGGTGGGGGCCTGTCGCAGAGTTGGGGCCTACCAAGCCAAGGTCCTACAGCTCTTGTTGGAGGTGAGTGGATATTACCCACAATCCGTTTATGCCCTCAGTCCAACTTCTACCTGTTAGGACTTATCTAATCTTAAGTTGTTGTACCTCTGGACTCACGAAGTCTAATGCCCAAGGAGTTCACAGGAATGGGGGAAAATGAGACCTATAGGTGCCCGCCACCACTCCCAGCTAATTCTTTTTTTTTTTTTTTTTTTGAGACAGAGTTTCGCTCTTGTTGCCCAGGCTGGAGTGCAATGGTGCAATCTCAACTCACTGCGCCCGGCTGAGGCCAAATGCTATTTCACAGTCCTGGAACAAAAATTGTCTCCCAGAACTAAGAATTTTATTTAAGGGATAAACGTTTATTAATCCCTGTATGTGATAGAGACTGGGGATACAGCAAGGCATGATATCCTGCTCTCATGGAGCTCACATTCTTGTGGAGTTGGGGTTTCTTTCCTTTCCTGAAGGTGTTCCCTTAAAGTTGAGGTTAGGGATGGAGAAGTTCTCAGGTTCATCATATTTTGTCTTCTCCTTTAGGCATTCCACTGTGCAGAGCCCTCATCCCGGCAAGTGGCCTGTGTGCCTCTCTTTGCCTCTTTGATGGCGTATGAGGTGTACTATGGACTGATGGAGGAGGAGGGGGCAGTGCCTGCAGAGCACCAGGTGAGGTAGGGGAGAGGCCAAGCCAGTGACTAATTGGGAGCCAGGCCTCCTAGGGTTTAGCAAGCCTCTGCCTTCTGAGGTGAGAGTGGTGACTTCATCCAGGTGGAGGTGGCAGTGTTCTGGGGATGGGCTCATCCACCTGGCTTGTTGGTGCCTCCTAATTTCCTATCTCTGCGCTCCCAGGTGGAAATGGCCGCAGCCAGGGCCTTGGGGGACGTAACAGTCCTTGGGTCTCTACTGCTCCAGCATCTGCTGCACTTCTCCACTCCTGGTCTTGTCCTTCGAAGTCTGGGTGCCTTGACAGGACCACAACTTCTGGTCCTGGCTCAAAGTCCTGCTGGGTCTCATGTGCTTGATGCCATCCTGACCAGCCCTTCTGTGACGCGCAAGCAGCGCCGCCGTGTGCTGCAGAACCTAAAGGTTAGATTTCTGGCTTCTGCCTTGATTCCCCACCATCATCCATTTAGAGAATATGAGCTTTCTCAGGACTGTACCTTCAGACTCCAAAAGGCTATGTAATTACTAGACTATTTTAATTCAGCCCCTAAACTCTTCAGAAAATTCACTCCCCGCAAGCCCCCAAAATACACTTTTGTGGACTTTGCTAGGGAGACCTACTTTGCTTGTCTCAATACAGGGACAATATGTGGCTCTGGCCTGTAGTCGCCATGGCAGCCGTGTGCTAGATGCCATCTGGAGTGGAGCAGCCTTGGGGGCTCGGAAGGAAATTGCTGCTGAACTGGGTGAGTACCAGCCCCTCTCTTTGATGTTTCCAGACTTCCCTTTTCTTACTCCAGATCACTGGGTGGCTGGGAAGTCTACTGAAATTCAACAGTCTTTAGTTCCAAAGGGTGGTCTTGCTCATGGGTTCTTAGCAGTCTGCTTTCCCCTTCCCTCCCGCTGACTAACTGTGCAGTCCTCTGCCCTCACCCCTCCCTCTGACTTCTGTTCTTTGGAAAGTGAAGTGTTCACTGTACCCCAGTGGCAGTCCCAGGGTCTGGGGGAAATGGAGGGACCTTTACCTCAGGTAGAGTCTGTCTTTGAGCATGGTGGTACTAAACATGAGTGGTTCCCTTTGCAGGGGAGCAGAACCAGCAGCTGATAAGAGACCCTTTCGGCCACCATGTGGCTCGAAATGTGGCCTTGACTACCTTCTTAAAGCGACGAGAGGCTTGGGAACAGCAGCAGGGTGCGGTGGCCAAGCGGAGGCGGGCATTGAGCTCCATACTTGAAGACTGAGGCTTTGGATCTGGGACTGCGCGTTGATGGGGGAGGGCAAAAGGGGATATCCACCCCATCTCTTTCCTGGTTTAAACTGGAGTCAAAAGTCGTAGTGGTAAATATTTTATATTTTTATTGGAAATGTTTTTGTTAGTTTGTGGGGAAGGATATGAAGACATCTCAGGGTAAAGTCAGAGGGCTGTCATCAGTGTGCTGGGGAGTTTAGGGACAGGAGGCATTGGTAGGGGTTAGATGTAGCAGCAATCAGGCTGGGATCAAGATGCCTGGGGGACAGGCTTGTGGCCTTTCAGGGCAAGTGGGAGGCCAGAAAGGTGGCTAGGAAGGGACAGCATTCTTCAGGTAAGGGTATAGACTTGGGATGTGAGGCATTATGCTGAAAGGTTCTCTGACAAGCGGATCAGAGGACAATGGGGAAATTGGGTGAGTTATCTAGCCTGTACTGTCTGCAGGTCCTGAAATTTGATGCTGTCATCGTCTTTGCAGTGTGTCTCTTGGAATGATTCTGGGGGCAGAAGCTCAGAGCCCCTTCTTAGTAGGAATGGAGGCAGCCCTTTTGCTGCCACTGCTCAGCCCCCTCCACTACATGACGAAGGGTGGAGGAAATTCCCAGCAACATATGGCCCAGGCCTTGCAGCAGTGTGGAGGTCCAACGAAGGAGCTCCCTGAAGGGCAGAGACAAGAGGAAATCAGATGATTTGGGAAACCTGGGAGGAAGCCATCAAGCTGGGAGATGAGGACTTTCCACAAGCAAGAGCTAACTAGGGGTAGGTGGGTGCAGGAGGAGGAATTATGGGGACTATCCAACTGTAGGGGATGGGGAAGTATGACATGTTGATTTCTGACCTGAGTACTTTCTTTGGGCCGAGTCCTTGAAAGTCACAACTCATAGAGTAGAGCCCGTAGAATGTGGCTTTGACATTCAGGCTGCCAAAGAGGTCTCGAGGGTTTTGCTTGTACACGTCAAAGGTGATGCGGGCGATGTCCTTGCTGTGCTTGGGCCTCTCCCGTCCCAGGCCATATGACAACACTCCACTCTGTAGGACACCCTTGTCAGTGCAGTATATCCTCACACCAGACACCCACCACTAATCTCCATCGGCACTGTGTCAGACTCTCCCTTGCTTAGGCTTTCTGTCCACTGTGTGACATCCTTAACAATTCTACAACTCCCCCTGTACCTGGTCCCCAGGATCAGGGTTAAGCTAGAGAGGAAGCCCGGGAAAGCTCTAAAGGATGGGCAGTGGAAGCAGCCCCAGTATAGGCCTCTTACCCTTGCGGGGCTCCAGCTCTGACCAGACTCCAACACCATCAGGCACGTGTCATCCTCCAGCAGCTGGAAGAAGTCCTCACTGTCCACTGCAGTTCCATCCTCCTCTAGCACCAGGGTTAGCACTCCATTCAGCAGTAGGGTCTCCAATGCCTGCCCAATGGCAAGAAGCAAGAAGGAAGGTATCCCATGCCCCTTCCCTCTTTAGCTGCCCAACATCCATCAGTTGGCTCTAGACATTGGTCGATGTCCCACCTTGACTTTCTGGCACTTTGATACCTCCTAAAGGCTGCAGCTCTCCGTGTTCTTCAGGTTTTGGGGGATCCTAGCTAGAGGCTGAGTTTTTTCCTCTTTGCTCCTACCATGTCATTGGCATCTCCCCTTGCTCCCCTCCAAGTCACTCCTGGTTTGGAATTGGAAAGCAAGCCAGGTTCTCATGAAGTCCACCCTTCTGTCTTATCTACAATGCTGCACCTCACTTCCCACACCCTCAGAGTTCTCCAGAAGTGTTTTGAGTAATAGTGTTTAACCTTTTTGAGTCCTTACTCTGTGCCGGGTATGAAGACTTTACCTACATTATCCTCTTACTCCTTTCAACAACCCTAGGAGGTGATGTGTTATTGCCTTTTTATAGATGAAGAAACTGAGGTTTTGATAGGTTGAACAACTTCCCAAGGTTTGACAGCCAGGAAGTAGCAGAATCAGAATTTGAACTTGATTTGTCATACAAATTGCCTTCCATACTGGCCTCTGAATTCCATCCCTCCAACTCTCCCTAACTCCTGCTAACCCCTGCTCCCATAGAAAAGCTCACTAGGTGGAAAATGAACAAACTGACTGGAGCTCATGAGGCCCACCCCACTGAGCTCTCAGCGGGAGGAGGCAGCTGTGTGACTTCAGCCCTCTCTGCTCCATCATCACAAGTTGCCACTTGTGGAGCCCCTTGGCTACCCCTGCTAAAGGAACCAAGGAACTTGGCCTACTTACTTTGGCTAGCAGCTCCTGGCGGGTGGCAGCTGTCAGGCCTTTCCGGATGGTCCGCTTGTGATTACAGACACGGAAAGGTCGCTGGGGTGGTGAAGCTGAGGTCCAGACCCTCCGTCCAAACTCTGAGCTTATATTAGATACTGACCTGGTAGTTGAGAAGAAAAGTCAAGAAGGGGCGAGGAGGGGCTTAGTGAGTGTAAAGGGCGTGATGGGGGTAGAGTGGGAGGGAGGGAGAGATCTAGGTTTATAGATGGTAGGGATGAGGGAGAGACCATGGAGTACAGGTGGGGTCGGGTGGGTCAAGAGCTTGACAAGCCCACTATGGAGTGGGGAGCAGAAGAGGAAGGGGTACTGGTTAGTGTCCTAGGGGCTGAGTGGAGTATTGTTGCCCTGCTTATATCCCCTAAAGGTAGAGGGTAGAGCGGAGGGTTAGCAGTCACCTGAGTAGGTCACTGGGGTTCAGAGCTGAGAGGTACTCCATGGTGGATGGGAGAGTTCCTTCCCTGGAACTTCTGGGCTGGGTGGTTCTCTCCTGTGCTGGGGCTTTAGTGGTGTTTTCTGTTACAAACCTGGGATCTCAGCCCAGGGCAACGTGGGAGTGAGTCAAGCCTGGACTCTGGCCCCCCTGCCTGACCAGTAAGAAGGGCAAAGTCCAAGGGGAGGGATGAGGGAGGGGCCAGATGGGGTCCTGGAGGAAGAATTGCCTGGCAAAAGCCATTGGAGCTTGTATGTGTGCCTTTGGTGATGACATGTGTTGTGAGGGTAGATGGGAACCATGTAAAAGGATGAAACGTGACCTCTGGTGTTTTTTTATTTCTATGAGAGAATTTCTGGGGATGGTTTCTGGCTCTCAGACTCTGAGAAGCTGCATTTTATGTGAGTGGCTCTGTGTGTGCTGCCACCTACTGGAGTAGCCATAAGCTGCAGCTTTAGGAAAAGGGATCCCGGGGTGGAGTGTGGGGAAGCTGGATGGCAGCATGGCAGGGCTTTGGAAAATGAGAGGTGAGACTGTGTCCAGGAAGGGTGTAAGGAGAGGATGGATCCTGATCCATGGATTCAGGATCATTAGGGTCCTGTCTGGGACCCTGGTTTTCCTACTTACCTGCTCCTTCCTCCTTGGTCAAAGGAGGGGCTGGTTCATTGCTCTGACTTCGGTTTCCAGAACGACCTGTGGAGTTGGGTCACACTTAGGTCATCTTCTCTCTCACCTTTCTGCTTTTGCCAACTAATGGACGTGAAGGAGATGTGAATGGGGCAGGAATGTCCTTTGATGGCATCAAGAATTTAGCTTCTGGTGCACTGTGTCCCAGCTCTGATTTCAGTTGCAGCCGTGATGGACAGTTGCATGGAAGCTGAGACTCTCACTGACAGTGAAACCCTCAAATGAACACAATCCCTGCTTTCCTGCCCACGATCCTTGTAGGGTCCCCCAGCTTCCCCACTTTTTTTCTGTGTCCTGACAAAGAAACAGAATAACTTGATTGCCCTGTGACCTGGCCAGCTGCATTTCCCCTGGAGGCTTGAGCCCAAGCCAGAGCCTTGAAAAGGTATTCAGGTTGTTGCTCAAAACACAAAAAAACTGGCCCTGGCCCTGAACCAAATACCTTGAACCTTCATAAACTCCATACCCTGACCCCTTTGTTTTGGACATATCGAGATAGAACAACTCTTTCTCTCACTGTCTGTTGTAAGGATATGCTGTAGCCCACTCATTAAGTACATTCTCCTAATAAATGCTTTGGACTGATCACCCTGCCAGTCTTTTGTCTTGGGCAATCTGTACTTTTCTCAGAGATTCCAAGGCCTACTGAAGGGACTTAACACACTCTTAATGGCTTTCCTGTCTCTTGTTTTACCCTATGCCCTCACTTCCTGAGTTAACCTCCCAAATACAGGATTACCGGTACCCAAGCCCTTAGCTCAGGCTCTGCTTTGGGAGGCCCCAACCTAAGACAGTACTCCTGGTGCCCTGCGCAGGGAACCTCAAGTTCTGGCTGTTACTTGGGCAGAGGACTTTCTTTTCCCTTCCCCCAGCTCTATCCATCTGCCAGGCCCCCGTCAAATCTCTTCATTTCCAAGTTTTGCTTGACTTTTCCAAGAAGAGAGGGCTGCTGCTTAGTATGTCCCTACTACTGCATCCTTTCCTTTCTTGTCTTGTATCCTTGTACAGCCTGGAAATGGGATCTCTCCATGGTTGTGTGTCATGACTCCCTAACCATTATGCCTCCATGCATCTCCTGTTCCTCCTGGAACCTGGCAGCATGCCTTACATGGAAAAGCTGTCACTGACAGCCTGGTGAGAGCCCTGAGGGTGGAGTGACTGGGGCAGGGCCCGAGGCAAGAGATGGGAGGAGGTAGACCAGAAGCTGAAGAAAAGGGGCTTAGCCAGACCAGGAGACTGGAAAACAGGCAAAGATAGAGCAGATGGGGGACTGAGTTGTTTGGGTCACCTTCTCTGCAGACCAGAGAGACCAAGCAACATACGTGCTGCAGAAAGTGGGCTGGGTGGATTGGGGCCAGAGCTGGGGGAGGGATGAGAACAGAAGCAGGACCAGGGTTAGGATTCAGCAGAGTCCTCCTATTTCCTTCCACGACCAGGGAATCTTACTGCCCCACTTCAGCTTATGCTGTTTCCTGGCAAGGCAGGCTCTCACATGCCTGGACACTTGGATATGTTGGTGATGGGAAGGAGTAGGGTGAGGGAGGGGCCCCAGGAGAGGCCCAGGATGAGCCTCATCTTGTCCCTCCCCATTCTTACCTTACCCTCTGCAAATGTGATAGGCACAGGACAGGAGTAGGCACCTCGCCCACTGCTTCTTAACCTTTCAGCTTCTCCAGGCCCCCAGTCGTGCTTGCTCCCACCTTGGTAAGTAGATCTGCACACGTCCCTTTATACCCCACCATCCACTTTTGCCCAAATGTGCTAGAATGGGGCTGGACAAAGAAGGAGGGGCCAGACTAGAGGAGTGGTGGTAGAGAGAGTGACAGCCTGGGGTGAGGGCTTTATGCCTGTTTACCACTGAGCTCTGGGAAGGAGCCAGGAGTGGGGCAGGTCAGCTGACTGGGAGCAAGGGATCTGGGTTCCAAGAAAGAGTAGTGTTTGAGGTGGGGTCTGGGTCCTCATGGAAGTCAGGACTCCCAGGCAGAAAAGAGGCAGGCTGCAGGCAAGTAAGGAGGAGGCATGGCCCCTTCGCATCAGGCATCACAGGTGGGGTTTTGCCCCACCCCTGAACACCCTCTGTGGCGCCTTCCACCCACCTGTAGGCCCAGAAGGATGTCGGTCTGCTACCGTCCCCCAGGGAACGAGACACTGCTGAGCTGGAAGACTTCGCGGGCCACAGGCACGGCCTTCCTGCTCCTGGCGGCGCTGCTGGGACTGCCCGGCAACGGCTTCGTGGTGTGGAGCTTGGCGGGCTGGCGGCCTGCACGGGGGCGACCGCTGGCAGCCACGCTTGTGCTGCACCTGGCGCTGGCCGACGGCGCAGTGCTGCTGCTCACGCCGCTCTTTGTGGCCTTCCTGACTGGGCAGGCCTGGCCGCTAGGCCAGGCGGGCTGCAAGGCGGTGTACTACGTGTGCGCGCTCAGCATGTACGCCAGCGTGCTGCTCACCGGCCTACTCAGCCTGCAGCGCTGCCTCGCGGTTACCCGCCCCTTCCTGGCGCCCAGGCTGCGCAGCCCGGTCCTGGCCCGCCGCCTGCTGCTGGCCGTCTGGCTGGCCGCCCTCTTGCTCGCCGTTCCGGCCGCCATCTACCGCCACTTGTGGAGGGGCGGTGTATGCCAGCTGTGCCACCCGTCGCCAGCCCACGCCGCCGCCCACCTGACCCTGGAGACTCTGACCGCCTTCGTGCTTCCTTTCGGGCTGATGGTTGGCTGCTACAGCGTGACGCTGGCGCGGCTGCGGGGCGCCCGCTGGGGCTCCGGGCGGCATGGGGCACGGGTGGGCCGGCTGGTGAGCGCCATCGTGCTTGCCTTCGGCTTGCTCTGGGCACCCTACCATGCGGTCAACCTTCTGCAGGCAGTCGCCGCGCTGGCTCCACCGGAAGGGACCTTGGCGAAGCTGGGCGGGGCTGGCCAGGCTGCGCGAGCAGGAACTACGGCTTTGGCCTTCTTCAGTTCTAGCGTCAACCCGGTGCTGTACGTCTTCACCGCTGGAGATCTGCTGCCCCGGGCAGGTCCCCGTTTCCTCACGCGGCTCTTCGAAGGCTCCGGGGAGGCCCGAGGGGGCGGCCGCTCTAGGGAGGGGACCATGGAGCTCCGAACTACCCCTCAGCTGAAAGTGGTGGGGCAGGGCCGCGGCAATGGAGACCCGGGGGGTGGGATGGAGAAGGACGGTCCGGAATGGGACCTTTGACCCTGCTGCCCTTCCCTCTCCCTTTCCATCCTCTCACCCTCTGGAGCTCAGTGTTCTGGAACATTTGGGGACCCTTCTTTGATTAGAGTTTGGATCTGACTAGGTAGGATTACTATACACCTCAGGCAGGCCCAGGCTTCTCCATACTGAGGGATTATGAGGGTGGTGATGGTCCCTGTTAAGGACTATTGCGTGCTTGCAAGTTGGCATGTACCCATGTGCCAGCACTGCTTACTTGTTGCCAATAGCTGTTATTGTGAAATATACTGGGAAGCCATTAGATGATGACTTACGTGTGCCTCCCCTGGTGGTTCTTCATTCCTGAGTTGTACTGAAGCCACCTAGTTCCCTTCTGGGTCAAGCCAGGGCTGGGCAGTGCCAGCCTTCAGTGGCATCTGGACCTGCTCTCCTCAGTCCAGGTGCCCTGGTTCCACAGGCCAATCCATAGAACCACTCTGGAAATAAAGGAGTAAATGGAAGGAGAAGTATGGGAGCTTGGATGAGGGGTAGGAATGGGATCCATTCTCTGAGGCTTATAAAAGCCTCTGGGGGAGGAAATGGCTCTGAAGGGGAAACTGAATCTGGGGTTTGAAAGGAAAGTTTTCCTGCCTGTCTTGTGTTTGGTCCAGTGGGTGTGAGAGAGGCACACAAGGAGTGGACAGTGGTGTAGGGGCCCTGGGAGTCTGAGACTTACCTTCCTCCCTGACCATCTGTTCCTCCCTGCAAAGGCTACCTGACGTGAAAAGGAGCCCAGGAGCAGGCACTCAGTCTGGGAAGTTTGGAGGTTGGTCATCAGGGGGTATGAGGAATGGCAGGAATATTTAGAGGACAGGAATAATTTTTCAGAAAAGTGCCACCTATTCTTTTTCTCTTTGCCAAGTCTGGGCTCCTTCTAAGATGCTGCTAGCTACTCCTGGGCCCTTCCCCAATACTTATCTGCCCCCACCTTTTGGAATCCATATCTAGGTCTAAAAACGGTTCTAGATCCTGACACCTTTGATTGGGGGATGTAGAATGGGATTCTTTTCAGGGGACATCCACAAGTACACACTCGTGGTCACTAAGGTGACCAGCTCATCCCAGTTGGCCCAGGACTTTCCCAGTGTTAGCACTGAAAATCCCTTGTCCCAGCCCTGTTGGTTTCCCAACAAACTGAAATGGTTGGCCACTCAAGTGGCTACCCTGACCATCACCCCAGGCTCTACTTTAGTGACTGCTCATACCTCCCTGCCTCCCAGACAGAAGTCGAAACAGAGCAAAAGAAACCCAGTCCCCAGGGTCATGCTGGGGCTACCAAAACTGGGATGAACTAGCATCTGTGAACTAGAACAGCAGGGAGTATGCTTAGAGTGCCTGGTCCTGGGTATGGGGAAGAAAGGCCATCAAGGTAGATGTAGGTGGGGAACAACTTGGGAGGGGAGGCAAGGACAATCCAGTTTCTGTCTGAAGGGACCTCTGGTTGACCCTGGAGCTTCTGTCCCCAAACACAGGCCTCATGGGATTCTTTCTGTCCTCATGCACTGGGCACAGGTTCCCTAACTTCCCTTGTTGCATATTCCCCATCTCTGACACCCAGTGCGGTCAGAAAGCCCTTCCTTAACTCAGACTTCAGTTCTTGCTGTGGTTTCTGCCCATTGCTTTTCATCATATCCTCTACCTGACAGCTACGAGGTCAACTCTGCTCTGGCTTTTCTCCAGGCAGAGCAAGTGGGGGCTCTGGAAAGGTTAAGGGATCTCAGTGACCACCATTATACTTTGCATCTTTCCTGAGAAGTGAGAGTTGAAAGGGAAGCAGGAAGGCCCATGGTCAGATTGAAGGAAGGAATTTTTAGTTTCTTTTTTTCTTTTTCTTTTTTTTTGAGATAGAGTCTCACTCTGTCACTCAGGCTGGAGTGCAGTGGTACGATCTCGGCTCGCTGCAGCCTCCACTACCTGGGTTCACGTGATTCTCCTGCCTCAGCCTCCCAAATGGCTGAGACTACAGGCACATGCCACTACACCCAGCTAACTTTTGTATTTTTAGTAGAGATGGGGTTTCACCATGTTGGCCAGGCTGGTCTCAAACTACTGACATCAAGCGATCCGCTCCCCTCAGCCTCCCAAAGTGCTGGGATTACCAGTATGAACCACTACAACCCACCAGGAATTTTTAGTTCTTAGCTTTTGCAGGAGACTTCAAGGAAAGGAGATGTTCCTCTGTCCAGGAAATGGGGAAGGTGACCATTTTTGCATTCCTGGTTTCCCCTCTTGGCAGGGTAGGCATGAGGCATCACTGTTCCTGCTCTCCCACTCCTGCCCCTCATGCTCAGCCTGCCTAGCTCGGCCTCAGCTTTCTCTGTGTGTCTAAAGTGGAACTGGATAGAAGGCTGTGGGAAGATAGGAAAGAGATGGTGCCAATCCCCTTGCCCAGATCTTAAATCCAGACTCAGCAAGGCAATCACATGGGCAAGCACAAGGCAGGGGGGTTGGGGAAAGGGGAAGTAATTGGCATTCTGTGTGATACCAAGGAGACCATTTGGATTTTGGCTTCTACCAAAGAGAATGGAGAATTGATTGACCTAAATGGAACCAATCCCTTTAAGTAAGGCGAGGAAAGGGGGTGCTGGAAGATGACCACACAACCTAGATCATAGCTTGAACTGAAGCCAAGAACAGAGTGCTGCCCCCTTCGGCAATTTACTGACACGCCCTCTTTAAATCATGATGTTATCTAACCCAAACCCAGACCCAGGACCTAGTCACAGCTCCAACCTACACTTCCTATTAATTTAAAAAAAAAAAAAAATTCTACATTATTAATGCAAAACAAACTAACAAACAAAGATATCAGCATTGTAGCCTCTCAATCTGAGCCCATTTCCCTTCTCTGGCTACCATACCTCCTTCTCCTATATGATACCATTCACTACTTTGTTTAATTCTCCAGTCTAAACCTGCATCTTGAGACCACACCCAGCCTACTCACTCCCCACACCCCTCTTCCCTCTCTCACTGCTCCTTCCTGGTCTCTTCTCATCTGGCTCCACCTCTGAGGAGTCCTCAGAGAAACCCTTCTGGGTTGCCCTGGAACACAGACTATCCCCCCTCCCAGTGAAGGGAGTGGGTAGGGGTTTCAGCCCCACCCTCAGGAAGATGCGTCTTCCCTGTCCTCTGCTCTATGGTACTTCCTCTCTGGCTGACTTAGCAAATAGCACCTAGACTGGGGGCCAGGCCCTTGGCAGTGGGACAGATCCAGGGATAGGCTACAGCACCTTGCCCTGACCCTGGGATTGGCATTAGCTTCCAACCAGTTCCTGTCAAAGCTTGTAAGTAAGTATCCTGGGAACGGCAGTGGTTGTGGTGGTGGTGGGACGGTGTGCAGCCATGAAAGAAGGTGCAAAGGAATCTCCAAAGAAAGCCTGACCAGTGTAAAAGTTGGGAGGCTTTGTCCTTGTCACTTGTCCACTAACTCTTCCCCTCCCTGTTATTCCTGGTTGACCCTGGGCATCTCTGGGGACAGTAGGCAGGTGATTGGGAAAGTTAATGGGATTGAGGGGATGAGGGCCTGGCAGGGGGCAAGAAAGCTGGCCTTTCAAGGGGTGCAGCATTGGTAGGAACTCTCAGGTTGGTTCTGGGCTTTAGGGTCTCCTAAGGGGAGGAGACTGAAAAGGTCTGGAAATGCTGCTGCTGCTGCTGCTGCTGCTGTGGTCACTGTATATTTTGCAATTGGGTCTGTGGGCAGGAAGGGGCCCCATGACCCAGTTAGGAAACTAGTCTTTGTACTCAACCAGATCCCTTTAAGATGTCAGTCTGCAGCGATGGGGGCAGTATATTTCAGGGGGACCTCTGATGCTGCTGACCCTGGAGACAGACTAGAGTTCTCAGTCTAGGCGTGTCTATGGTGTCAGGAAACCCTTGGTCCTCTACTCTCATGCGTTTGTCCGCCCTCACTCTCCAGGTCCTCCTGACGGCCATGAACACTACATCTTCTGCAGCATCCCCCTCACTAGGTGTAGGGTTCATCTTTCTGTTGGCTATCATCCTGCTGTCAGTGGCGCTGGCTGTGGGGCTTCCCGGCAACAGCTTTGTGGTGTGGAGCATCTTGAAAAGGATGAAGAAGCGCTCTGTCACTGCCCTGTTGGTGCTGAACCTGGCCCTGGCCGACCTGGCCGTATTGCTCACTGCTCCCTTTTTCCTTCACTTCCTGGCCCAAGGCACCTGGAGTTTTGGATTGGCTGGTTGTCGCCTGTGCCACTATGTCTGTGGAGTCAGCATGTACGCCAGTGTCCTGCTTATCACAGCCATGAGTCTAGACCGCTCACTGGCAGTGGCCCGCCCCTTTGTGTCCCAGAAGCTACGCACCAAGGCAATGGCCCTGCGGGTGCTGGCAGGCATCTGGGTGGTGTCCTTTCTGCTGGCCACACCCGTCCTCGTGTACCGCACAGTAGTGGCCTCGAAAACGAACAACATGAGCCTGTGCTCTCCGAAGTACCCCAGCAAGGAGCACCAGGCCTTCCATCTAATCTTCGAGGCCATCACTGGCTTCCTGTTACCCTTCCTGGCTGTGGTGGCCAGCTACTCCGACATAGGGCGTCGGCTGCAGGCCCGGCGCTTCCGCCGCAGCCGCCGCACTGGTCGCCTGGTGGTGCTCATCATCCTGGCCTTCGCCGCCTTCTGGCTGCCCTACCACGTGGTGAACCTGGCCGAGGCCGCCCGTGCACTGGCCGGCCAGGCCTCCGGGTCGGGGCTCGTGGGGCAGCGGCTGAAACTGGCCCGCAACGTACTCATCGCGCTCGCCTTCCTGAGCAGCAGCGTGAACCCCGTGCTGTACGCGTGCGCCGGCGGCGGCCTGCTACGCTCGGCGGGCGTGGGCTTCGTCGCCAAGCTGCTGGAGGGCACGGGCTCCGAGGCGTCCAGCACCCGCCGCGGGGGCAGCCTGGGCCAGACCGTGAGGGGCGGCCCCGCCGCTCTGGAGCCCGGCCCTTCTGAGAGCCTCACTGCCTCCAGCCCTCTCGAGTTAAACGAACTGAACTAGGCCTGGTGGAAGGAGGCGCACTTTCTCCTGGCAAAATGCCAGCCCTGAGCCAGTTCTGTACCTGGAGGAGGAGCAGGGGCGTGGAGGGCGTGGGAGCGTGGGAGCGTGGGAGCGTGGGAGGCGGGAGTGGAGTAGAAGAAGAGGGAGAGGTGGAGCAAAGTGAGGGCCGAGTGAGAGAGAGCTCCATCCTGGCTCCCACAGGCAGCTTTAACCATTAAAACTGAAGTCTGAAATTGGGTCAACCTTGTGAGTGGGGTATGTGTGCTGTGGGCAT